AGAAGAAGAGACATCGAAGGCAGACGTTGGGAACGTAGAACTAGAAAAGGAGTTCACTGAGGACGAGGTTGAGGCGTGTGTGAACAAGCTGCAGTGCCACAAAGCAGCAGGGGCGGATGGGATAGTAAACGAGTTCATGAAGTTTGGGGGCAAGGGGATGATCCAGCTGATGGTACTGCTATACAACTGGGTGTGGAAAAACGAGTATGCGCCAAGTAGATGGAGGGAAGGAGTGGTTGTGAACTTGTTTAAGAAAGGAGACAAGACTGACCCAGGAAACTACAGGGGTATCACACTGTTGAACACAGTAGGAAAAGTGTTCTGTAAGCTGCTGAACGATAGGATAGTGGGAGTATTGGAGAAGAAACGTAGCATTAGTGAGGGCCAGGCAGGTTTCCGACAGAAGAGGGGGTGCGTAGACCACGCATTCACGGTAGGGAGAATCATCCAAGGTAGAAAGAGGGCGGGCAAGCGGACGTACTGCTTCTTCCTGGACGTGAAAAAGGCATACGATACCGTATGGAGAAATGGGCTGTGGAAACAATTGTCCAAGTACGGGATCAAGGGGAAAATGTGGAGGGTGCTGAAGAAGATGACAGAGTGTACGAAAAGCGCGGTCATGCTAGACGGAGAACTGTCTAAATTCTTCGACATTGAGCAAGGGGTCCCACAAGGTTGCACGCTGTCCCCAACATTGTTCCAGGTGTTCATCAACGATCTGTTGGAAGTCGTAGAGGCAGTCCGGAAAGGAGTAAAAGTAGGGGACACGGAAACTTCGGTGTCAGGAATGCTGTTTGCGGATGACTTTGTTGGTATGTCGGACACCCCTGAGGGACTGCAACTGCAAATTGACGCGGCGAAGAAGTTTACTGATAAGTGGAGATTGTCTGCCAACGTTACGAAGAGTGCCGTCATGGTATGCAACGAGGGCAGGGAGGAACCAGTAGAACATAGATGGAAGTGGGGGATCGAGGAGATTGCAGTAGTGGACCAGTACACATACCTCGGAGTAGAGATCGCAAAAGATTGCTCGTGGAATGCACACATGTCCAAGGTAGCGGAAAAGGGCAAAGCACGAGCAGGGAAGCTGCACCCAATACTCGCAAACCGGCACATTGATACACGCATCAAACTGACGGTGTTGAAGAGCGTAATCGTACCGCCGCTGGAGTACGCCGGAGAAGTATGGGAAGGAAATAAGAAGGTAGTGAAAGAACTCGAGGCGGCGCAGATGAAAGCAGCGAAAATCATCCTAGGATGCTCCAAGCGCACAAGTAATGCAGCAGTCAGGGCAGAATTGGGGATCCAATCCCTACGGTCGGGAAGAGACGTAAGGAAGCTGACATGGCAGTACCGCATGTGCGGGATGGGAGAGGAGAGGTTGCCGAGAATAGTATGGGAGGCGAAGTGGGCAAACAGAAAGAGGGGTAGACAACCCACGGAATGGGTCAAGGTTGTAGAGGACGTATGGAAGGGATTGGACATCGACGAAGATGAAACGCTGGAAACGGAGGGTCTACAGGGGTTCAAGAAGAAGATATCTGTTGCTTGTGCCGAGAGAGAAGAACAGAATCTAAGGAAAGAAACCAAGGATAAGGAGGGTCTAGAAGTGTACGGAATGTTGAAAGAAGGAATAGGGTTCAAGGATTACCTACATGGACCAATGGATGCAGGGACAAAGCTTAAGGTCAAATTCAGGACCGGGGACATAGGCCTTCGAGAATCTCGACGAAGACATAGGACGGTAGACGACGAAGACGACAAGTTCAAATGCGATTGCGGCTTCGAATGCAAAGACAGTGTTCATGTAGTCGCGGAATGTCCGTGGTACGAAAAGGAGAGGGAAGTGTACATGACTGAGCTGGGAAGAATACAAGGGACGTACAGGGAGATGTTTGAGGCATGGAATAGAGAGGAGAGGACGGTAGCG